GGATATGGAGCCCTCCCCATGACGAGATTGGAGAGCAGTGAAATACGAACGACGCCCACGCGTCCCCCCCCCCCCCCCGCTGGGCAAGGACAAGGTTCCACAACATAAAAAAGGTTTGACCTTGTGCAAGGTAACCCCCCCCAAAAAACAAAGTGCACATTAGACAAGGTCCGAAAAAACGAGGACGCTGGACAGCGTCCCCCTACCCAACCTTGGGCAAGGTTCAGAATTTCGGGTTAGGGATGAGCAGGGATCGAGGGAAAGGGGTTGCCCAAAGTTCGAAAAGAAAATGGGCCTTGTGCGGGGTAAAAACGTTCGCAGTAGACAAGGTCCGAAAAAACGAGGACGTTGAACAGCGTCCCCCTACCCAACCTTGGGCAAGGTTCAGAATTTCCGAGAGGGTTGAGAAGGGTTCGAGGGAGAGGGGTTGCTCAAAGCATAACCAAAGAAAATGGGCCTTGTGCAAGGTAAACACGTTCGCATCAGACAAGGTCCGAAAAAACGAGGACGCTGGACAGCGTCCCCCTACCCAACCTTGGGCAAGGCTCAGAATTTTCGATAGGGTTGAGCAGGGCTCGAGGAAAAGGGGTTGCCCAAAGTATAACCAAAGAAAATGGGCCTTGTGCAAGGTAAAAACGTTCGCATTAGACAAGGTCCGAGAAATCGACCATGTTGGACAACGTCCCCCTACCCAACGTTGTGGAGGACTCATGTAAGAGTTCGCACCCATGTACTACAGTAACTCTTCCTCTCGCATGAAACAAGAAGGACCTGACACGACCGTATTCTCAACTACTTGTTTGCTCGTCCATCGCACGACTACTTTACCTTCGTTGTGCACACAGTTTTCAATTTTCCACCACTTTTGTCGGGGAGACACTGGAGTGCAGGAAGAGCAAAGCCCTCAATCCCCCCCCCCCCGTGGTTAACCTGGAACGCCTCCTGCGGGACAAGAAGGAGACCCCCTGGAGACCGCTTGCGCCGGCGGCTGGACGCGGGGTCGAGCAGCGTCGCGCAGACGCGGGAGGCGTTTGTGGTGGAGGCGGCGGCCGCGTTGGCGGCGAGCCCGAGCGCGGAGGACGCACGGGCCGAGGCGTCCAGGACCGGGGCGCTCGAGTCCGCGGAAGCGTTTGCCTGGGTCGGGTGCGCCACCGTGCAGATCGAAACCCTCCTTGGTGCAACTTCGGACGCTTGTTGCGTGCGTGCGTGGTTGTTATTTATATTATTTTTTTAGCATCGACCGTCTAACCGGCTGGCCGATGAAAATACGTCGGTGCAGTTGAAACGTGGGCCACAAAAACAAACGTGGTGCTGTATAATTTTGCGGCTGAACGGTAACCTCCAGGTCGAGTCGCCGGAACCTCTTCCTTCCGCAGCATCCTTCAAAGCGTTGTTCTCGGGTCCTCATGACGTGTATCACGGGGACGAGGCATTGACGGAGGAGGCGGGGGAACTTCTGCCCGCGATGTCTCATTGATTGCTTTTGGTTCATAGAGTACTGTGATCGTGATTGTGATATGCTTGCTGGCGCAGGAGGGAGCGGGATGAGAGCCAGCGGTTTTCGTACTATTTTTGCAAGGGCATTTGGAATCTGCCGCTGCTACCTCCCCACTGTCTTCGGATCCTCGACGTCGATCCTCGACGTTTTGTTTTCGTGGGGGGGGGGGGGGGGGGGGCCGTTGGCTTCGTACCGTACTGGAAGAGCATTGAAAGTCGTGAGGTATACTGCTGCCCTCCGTGCAGTCAGAGAAGTGGT